CAGCTGAGACGGTACACGTTTTACAGCATCTTAAATGCCTTCACAATGTGAGCACTTTCAGGGTTACAGCAGTTCTCAGCCTTAAGGAAGGGTCTGCCATGCATTTCACAGGGGCTGCATGGCAGCTTCGAGGGGCTGCTCTGACAGAAGCAGAGCAGCTGGTAAGACCTCGCCCAGGATAAATTGGCTTCTTGGCATGTTCGTCTTTCCAGCCTTTCCTTTCTGTAGACTGAGGCCTCCAGGAAGCCTGTAATTTCCACTGTATTCCGAGGGCCCGGACACGTCCCATGTTAGCTTGGCCCTGATTTCCTTAAATGTGGTGGGAGCCCCATCCAGCAATACTATAGTTTCCTTTTAGTTTCTGGGTCGTCCTGTCCAAAGGCAAACGGTTCCTGGGACTCAGAACTTAGGGCGTGCCATAAAAGGCATCTTTTCAATCCAGAACTGGAAAGCAGCAGAAGTCCCCAGAAAGAGCTGTAAGCAACCAGTAGGGCTTGGCACCGCCGGACGTGTGTCCTCTATAGTTTGTGATGGCTCTCAAATCCCATACCAAACAATCACCTGTGGCCCCAGGTGTGTGTGCCAGCAGCAGGAGTTCAAACCCAGGTCCCTGTGGCCCCGAAACCCGTCACCTTCCACCCCAGCAGGCAGCATCTCGCTTTCTCTACACGACGCACACCCAGAGCCTCGTGTGTCCCTTTGTAGGTGGTGACGGCATTTCCCACACCAGGACCCCCAGCCCCGTGGACTCTGGCCCCAGCACCTTCTCCTTCCCTGCCACACTTGCATTTTGCCTTACAAAACAAGCTCAGAAATCTCCACATGGTGCCTCCTGGAATTCTAACCAGGGGACCAGAAATCACCGGTTTGCGTGCGAAAAATCACCGGTTTGCGTGCGAAAGCCCTTTTCCTTCCTTCAACCCCTGTCATCAACCCCACAAACACCACCGTCTCTTTCAACCACAAGCATCGCTGTTGTTATTCCCGCCCACCTGAGGCCTGGTCTGCTTTGAAAAACAGTATGATTCACCTCATTGGAATATTAACGTCCTCACAAAAAAGAAATGTGGTTATCAGAGGCGTTATGGCTTCCTTCG